CACATACTTTTACATGAGGATCATATTGTATTAAAAAGATCATCCTCATGGTACACTCAAATTCAGACTCAACTTTTCTGCACTGGTCTTCAGTGGTGTGATTTTGTATTATATACCCGAAAAGACATGGCAATTGAAAGAATTGTATTCGATCCAGAATACTTTGATTGTTGTTTACAAAAATCTTGTATCTTTTTCCACAAATTCTTGACATAAGTTGTAAAAATAAAATACTGAGTGATTGATTGCTTTATTATATCAGAATCAAATTAAAGACTTAGATCGTGATTAGAGTTAAACAGTATAAGTATCAACAGCCTTAAACATTTGATTACAGGTACACAAAAAATTGTACAAATTTTTTTTCAGTTGATATCAATAACCATATAATCATTGTCAAAGATAATTGTAACTTCTACAGAATTCAGTCAATTATCTGACCAGGTTTCACAAACGGTAACTTCTATAGATTTATGTCAAATATCTGACCATGTTTTACAGATGGTAAATGTAGTACAAGTGTATAACTCATTGCAATTGAACATAGACAGTGCAAGTTAGTAGCACTAAAGTAAATGCAGATATCTTTTTGTTTTTGTTTTTTCAAGATGACAAAATTAAATATTGTTTAAAGAGATCATGGGATTTATTTAATTCAAACTGCATACAGTGTCGCCTGGTTACAAGAGGTTTCTTCAAGTTACGAAAGAATGCACCTAAAATGATCATCGGATTGACTAAAGATTTCATACTCCAGGGTAGAATCTGAGAAATTAGTTTAAATGATTTCAACCTTTGAATGGCTCTCTCAACATGGATTCTCAAATTTGCAATTTGACGGGTTTTTTTTAACTTGACTAGATGTAAGGTACTTCCCTTTGCCCCAAGTACACTTACTAGTAAATGGTGGTATATTCAAATAAGCATGTCTCTCTGTAAGTAAATCTCGAATGGCGAAACCCCGGTCAGCCATAATCTCGTCTCCCGGTGACACATAATCCAAGAAACCAGAATTCATGGTAATATACCTATCAGAAGTGTTCCCTCCCCATATTTGAGACACAAAGTTAATAGCACCTGTTGGTGTAATGCTCACCAGAAATTTAAAAGTGTTGTGAGATTTATATGTACTATATGTCCTAGCATTTACAGAGGGGTCCCTGGGTCTCTGAATGAAAATCTCTGAACAGCCTATGATAGCTCTGGTCCTTGGAAATTTGTAAAAAGATTTTGGCATGAACGTCTTCACTAGTTCTCGGGATGGCCAGAAAATGAAATCTTTAAACATGAAATACATATAAAAAATCCAGGTTGAGAATATAGAAGAGATTCTGGAACAAGACACCCCAAATAAATCAGACATTACTACCACTGGCAATGCAAGGCGAAATCGCACAAGTGTAAGGATCAATTCCTGGTACCTTGATAGCTTTCTAGATGGACCAGGCTTATTCCCTCTATTTTGATAGCCTTTTTTGTTTTCGCCATGCTCACCGGTCTAGTATTTCAAATTTGGTTCATACTTAAATGTTAAGTTTCTAATTTTATTAAAAGTTTCTAAATTTGGTAACCCAGTATATTGTTGGATAGATTTGTCATTTTTTGGTTACTTTTTCAATGAACAGGTTTCTGAGAAGTGCATCTTTATCACTGAGTTTTGCCTTTACTTGTGCATTTTCTCTCAAAGTGTTGTTCATGTCTTCAGAAGTGAGGTCTGTCTATGTACCTTTATCTTCAACATCATCACTGGTTGTTAGAAACCTGTCTACAAGTGGTCTGCTGTAGCTGTTATCTGTTTCAGTAGTTGTGGATGGTGCTAAGTAAATATATACATGATAAATATAAATCTACACATAAATAATTAATGCAAACAATTTTCTGTCAATTAAGATCTGCACATTTTGTATAATTATACATGTATCGATATAAATAAAAATTCTGAGTACCGATTTATCCCCAGTGCAGTACATGTATCAGGGTTCATGAATTGAAACTTAATGAGAAATTGTACCTGACTCTGAAAGTTTCTCATTGGTGCAAGACTCTACAACTGTTTCAGACACAGCAAATGGCAGGCCCACACTTATGTCTACTGTCACGTGCTGCTGAGATGACGATGACACTTGGAGCATATGTGCTGGGTCTGTAAAAGTTTTTTGTTACTAGTCCAAAAGAACTTCATAGAATGTACAAGATGCAAACTATAGAAAATATGTCATTTGCGTACATTTTCCCTGCATAGGTGAAATTATGAGGACAGCTCTATTTACAATAAATTTATTCCATATTACAGGGCTGTCCCTAAGACCTGAGAGCCAGGGAATTCCCCCTTTAGTCAAATTAGTGGCATATGATGCCATATATTTTGGTATTGTCCCTCATTTTACTGTTAGAGGAGGAACCCCAAGTCTTCCTTCTACTTTTTAAATGCAACCCACTATTTCAAATCCTTGGGAACAACCCTGCATATCATATTCTTACCAGGTGTATTTGGAAAAGATTGTAACCTCAGATGTTAGTTATATACATGTAATCATATCAAATTAAGATGGATATCAGGTGAATAAAAAATAATTGTGCTAAGACTGGACCTATGTCTGATACATGTATGAACAGCTAATAAAAGTGATCTTCGCTCAAAAATGCATACATTAATGATAAGTAATATGTATACTTTTAGCTGTTTGTCTTTTTGTAGGGTTGGCCCATATATTTACATTTGTCATACCAGTGAGTTTTCCTCGTCTTGGATTAATGATAAGTAATATGTATACTTTTAGCTGTTTGTCTTTTTGTAGGGTTGGCCCATATATTTACATTTGTCATACCAGTGAGTTTTCCTCGTCTTGGAATGCAGGTGCTGTTGCACTTTGCTCCATTGCTCGTTCTCGCTTCTCAATAGACAGAGGTTTTGTTGTAGATACTGATTTGTAATTATTCCACGGGAAAAGTTCTGGGATTGTATGATTTTCTGAGCGACATTTTCCTACGAAATGTTTCGTGCAAACTCTATGATGAGCTAAAGGTTCATATTCTTTGGGGCGCCGTATCATGGTGATCCATTTCGCTCGAAGTTTTGGATCTTTGCGTTTCGTAGGGAATGGTTCAAAGGAGACATCCTCCATCCATGGATATTTATCTAGTTTGTTTATCTTTCTTGAATCGGAACTGCACCCTGGTACAACACACCAATACTTGCCCTTTGATTCGGGAGTATTTTTTCGACTCACCATGATTTGTTTACGTTTCATAAAACCCCGCGTCAAAATGTGCCCAACTTTTTACATAGTCACATGATCAGCATAGACTAAAAGTAGAGTCGTAACGGATCGGCGAAATGACGTATTGACACACCGAGAAGCCAAACTTTGAAAATGCTAATGATAATTATCAGGTAACAACTAACAATTAGTTTACTTAAATTAAAATTTGGCAGAACTTTCTCGATCAATTTTACAGTGCATGCTTGTGTGCATATAAGAGTCCAGCGACCCTTCGACATTACATGCTGAGTAATCACGCGGTCTGGTTTACATATACTTATGAATGTGAAAGTTTTGAACACACAAAAAAATAATATTTAGAAATCTGTTAGCGCACAATAAATTTTAGCATTCGGGGGCTCTTGCGCTAAAGGCGCTAAAATTAGTAGTGCGCCAAATATCTTGTTTTACACTTAATTGTAATTGCTAACGAACTCATTGTATCGACCATAGAACTTGCGAAATTATGACTTTAAACGACACTGCTAATATTCTTTTTTTCAGCGACTTGTTTGTCAATAACTTTCCTTGTTTACAAAATTGTTCATACTCTTTTGCTCTTGCATATCGAATCAACTGTGAGACATAAACCCCGTTAGCAGACGATGGAGGTTAGAAAACTTGACAGCTGAGAATTGAAGTTAAACGCAGCATTGTTAAGGCTTGAATAAGGGGGCGGGGCCTAATTTATACGGGAAAAGTATACTATGACGTCACACAAAAATATGACATTTATGTAGTTCTCATAATACGTGTAAATGAAATAATTTGCAACGCTTAACAGTATTAGCATAATAAACAACATTATAATTTATCAATGCATTAAAAAAGTTGCCAGTTAAATCCCTTGTAGCTGGTTAAAAACTAAGCACTCATCCCGATGAACTTGTAAACCTGACGTCATACTGGTAAAAATGACGTACTTCGAGTGCTGTGAAAGGCAAATTGAGAAATTGTTTATCAATGAAATATGTGCTTTATTATTAACGGAATATTATTTACAGATTTTAAATAGTCGATTAATACCAAGGTATAGCCTTTGTTTATTGCGATTGTTAATTAACTACAAAGAGAATGTATTTTATTAATAATATCGTGTTTTATGTACAGGTTATATATATTTTACATCGAGATGCCTCATAAAATCGTACTTTCGCAAGGGCATACACTGCATAGATCTGAACCATTTTTTAAATATAGATAAAGGATATATTCCTTAACTTGAAAAGTGCTGCTGCTTTCTTTTAATTGAGGCCGTGATTTTATAAGTACACAAAATATTTGGTAAAATTCTAACATATTTCGACATTGGCCTATTTACTTAAAACGCGAATTCTATTCAAAGCAGCAGCACTTTTCAGAAACTACAAAGTAAACAGAAACAATTAATAGCTTGAATTTTTAATTTCAATTAGGGTATGCCCTTGCGATATTGAAATTTGTTATTGACCTACATTCCGTGTACCTGCTATGCGTTCATCACGTGACTGTCCATCGATGGGACCAAACTCTACACAGTACAGTGTATGTTATACTATGCTATTTCCATAAGTGTTCATATCACAATAGTTTTTCTAAGTTACACTTAGGTCGAAAAAAAACGTCGTTTTCGACGTTGCGCCACATGGACATACCATTGCTTACAAAACATTACTACTTTATTAAAAAAAAGACAATTATGATTTGTGATTTATTCTATAGATAGAAAAGATGATGATAACTGAATATTTTGAAATTCATTCATATACCTAAAGCGGTTTTGATTTTATGGCGCTAGTCCACGAACTTATTGATAGCCCTTCGTACATACTGTTCTTGTAATCTATCGAATTATTTATTCACTTCAGAATTATTGAGTACAGAAGGATATATGGATTTGAGTAATACAAAGCTGATAAAACCATTTTGAACAGTATAAGTTTTACAGGCCACCTTAAGGTACCCAAATCGCACACTGTTAGAATAAAGCTCAATGTAAGAAAGGTGATTTACCAAATTTTTTTTTAATAATAAGCACGATTCACAATATATTTATTGCTCAATATACTGAGAAAACCTTTCAATAAACACAAATGTGTAAATATCATTCCTATGAGTTGGATTGAAATATTATTTGAACATTTTCATACATAGTGTTTCCCGGATAGTTTTCATATGCATCACCGATCTCAGGAAGGATGGCATCATATTTTCGATCATAAAAACAGACACTTAAATGAGCACAAATCATTATAATATCCATACAGCCAAACACAATTATAAGAACAAGCAAAATATTATTTGCCTGGAATTGCCGTGTTATTTTTCTGGTAAAGTTTGTTTCCGTATGATCCCCACTTGTCCAGTTGTGATTTTCCGTCAAAGTGGTAAGAGTAGGCGATAGTGCTTCACTTTCTGAGGAAAGACACAGGTTAAATGTTAGAGAATCTGATACAAAACGATAAACTTAAGGCATTGAATTATGTATATATAAATCGTTGTTTAACAAAACTTTATTTTCATCAAATTGCTAGCTACGTTTTACATAGATTGTTCTACCTGTTGTTACAAGCGGACAACCACTGTAAAAATCACAAATGTCTTTTTCGCAGTTACATTTTTCTTGGCACGCTTCACCATAAAATGGATATGGACATTTAGATGTACAATTTTCTCCAATGTATCCTGGAGTACATTCTGAAAAAAAAAATAGTTAATTGAAGGTAAACAATGCCAATTAAGTCAACGTAAATAACATTAGAATATGCATTTTGACTCCCAGAGACCAGGGATTGCGATTGAGAGTTGACGAAATAATGAATAAATTAGCCTAGTTATTTAGAAGGGAAAAACGGAACCAGGAATTAACTTGAAGGGATCAATAACTCGGAGGGATGGGAGTTCTGCCCACCAAGAGTCAAACAAATGTGATAAAGTACTAATGAATGCCATTTAAAATTTTACTTGTTGTACTTAAAGAATGGTTTTATTCAATTTTTATTGTTATCTCTGGAAATTTTATATTAACGATAAATGATGGTTTCGGGTGAATACAACAAATGATTTTTAGAATCCTGGATCTCGTATCATCAAATTGTGGGAGGCTTTAAATTAAATAATTTTATCTGCATGGAAGCTGCAATGATTTCGTGAAATTGAAGCCAATTAATAATTTTTGAATTCGTTATTAAGTCCAATCGTTAAATATCAGTTCATCATTATAAACGTGTTTTAGTAAACTGTTGCCAATATTATGGCATGATAAACAGCAAAAGTTACTTACATTTTGTAAATCGTGAAGACAAATATTGGAATACATTATTCAAGTCTAAATGAAACACACTGCATATATATACTTGTATATAATATTATACTTACTTCTCATACATGTAGTATTCCTATGTAAGATAAATCAACTTACTTTCACATTGTTTGCTTTCTACATTCCATCGGAAATCTGGACAGCAGGAATTGAAACCACTGTAGTAAAAAAATATGCACTTTATGATGAAAACTGTAGATTTTAACTGTAGAGTTTAATTACTTATACTTTAAATCGTCTCAAATGAAATATTTTCATAAAAATATATTCAAGACGTTGTTAAAATATGTTTAATCCATCGAAAGTATAATCAAAACAAACCAACTCACATTTCACATTTTGGTATTTCTGGACAACATGCAGAATGAAATTGAACAATCGATATATATGCAAATGATATTAAACTAGTTAATATAAAATCCATCTGGTTCATAAACAAATCATTGTTCTTCTGTTGCCCTTGTTGAGAGATTTGCCTGTTCTCAATAACGTCGAGAAATAAATTTCCTTCTTCCGGCAAACATGATTAAAGGCTGTTTAAGCATTGTTTATTTTTAAAACATCCAATTTGGATAATATAAATATCTAATAATGATTCATCTGAACCATTTCTGAATCTACTTTCAGTTAAAGCCATAATAGTCCTGTTGAAATCTCGGTTAACTTTTCTTTTCACAAAAGAAAATCATTTTTTCCCATATAATATATAAAATGGAATACATGCACACATGATTGTCCACACAGCAATAAAAAAAAATAAATCTTAAGGTTTTAAAGATGATTAAATGTCATTTGCCTCTTTACTGAATTTAATTTTACGTGACCTCAAATTTTTAGTAATTTAACGTGTATTGAGCAGCAGCTCAGTTACTCATTTACAGATGCTGAGACATTACATTGGCCTGCTTAAACCTCGTACTACAATATGAAAAGTAATTTTATACTCTGAGATCTGTAATTTCCCTGTATAGGTGTTGTTTTTATTACGAATGGAATTTATTACCCCAAAAATAAGAAAAGAAATTTAAATAGAAATCATGGTTTGTTTAACCAAAAATTAAATCCGCACAATATCCCATTTAATTTACTCAAACCAAGAATTTTCCCCTGGAAATCAAGCAGTTTTAACAGTATAAATATATTGAACTTTAAGATTCTAACGTGTAGTTATAATACTATGTGCCAAAAAGTAAAGCTAGCAGGTGTCTACCGATGGAATACTGGTTCATGACTGCCAATTATTTTTTTTTAACTGGCGCCTAAAAGAATCATTTAATCGCCGACACACTTTTTAATATCCTGAGTGGTTGAAAAATTTGGAAGAATAAAAATATGTGAGTTTTATATGAAACTTGAAGAGTTGATGAGGGGTCATTTAACCTTAATTAATAGATAACTTCAAACGCTCATTTCCGATTAAGTTTATGTAACATTCATAGAATTACTTGATTATTTCAAGATCTGCTTTTTATAGAACAAGGAAATTAAACATTGTTTAATACACCAGGATGTATTTTACACATCTTAAAACTTTACGATGAAGTGCTTTAAAACACATTGAAACTTTAAATTGCTGTAAATCTTAATATTATTTGTATTCATATTTTTTTCTTCTTAGAAATGTTAAAATGCCATAAAAATGTAATGGAGCTTGCAAATACATATCATTGTACCAAGTCCAAATGGTTACTTAAAGAACTATATGCGGTATATATTGCATATCTTTCCTCCAACAAAAGTCAAATTTTGAAGAAAAAAACTCTTTTAAATAAAAAAAATCTCTTCTTTAAATTGTATGTTTGAGAAATATAAAGTAACAGAGCATATTACAGTTTCAAAGTAGTTTATTGACAACTTTTGTTTTTATGACGTCACAAACTAGTCCGATTTCATATCATTAAAAAAAACGACAAAATTTCAACAATTATAGCTTCAAAATTTAAAGAGCGCAAGTTTCCCAAGGAATTATATTCACATATTTCATTGATATTTTCATTCATACATTCATTTCATTTATAGCGAAACATCCCTTAATCAAAAAAGCTAACAGAACAACAAAACCCAGGAGTTGAATAAATTATTTGAGTAAATAATATAGTCTAAAAACATCTTTTTAGCATAAAAGTGCTCCTAAAATCACACTGTCCTGTCAGTAAAATTATTATTCCACACATTCGCAGGAAACCCAATTGCAATGTCTTGAATTTTATACATATGAAGCGAGATTTTTCGTAAAACCATGTTTAACTCGGGATTCTAACAGCACTTTCCAAGTATTTTAAAAGACAAACTTTACATCTGTACAAGTCTTATGTTTTGAAATATCCAGCTTATTGTTGTTCTACTGCATTATTTTCGTCAGGAATGACAGAGGAAGGGCCGACCGGGATACGTTTATAGCTGACTGTCTTCAAAAGAGAATAAAACCGATGAAAATAAATTAGCATACCTGTTTTCTTTACTTAACTCCATATGATTATCACATAATGTTCACGTTATTTGCTTTTAAACTCCATTTTACGTGTCTTTGTACATGCCGTTCTTAGCCAAATTCTCTTTACACGACATGATCAATTTCCAAGTTACTTGATGTACACATTTGACGTCATCGATGGTAGAATTAAATCAAAATGACAGATGCAGCATAGAAAAAATAAAAACATTTTATTTTTGTTAATGTTTAGACGTTAATTTTCATCTTTTAGAGTTAAATTACATCTCTAAATACCAATATTACAAAACCTTTTATTGTAAAATTAAAGTCATCTCGCCTACTATATAACATCATAATGTATCACTGACTCTTTTAAAATATTATGTATACTTCCTTATCACCCCTGCGTTATGTGATATTTTTAGAAAAGTCTTAAGTCTTCAGCAAGTAAGTAAGGCAAGAAATAAGACACAAGCAACAGTTATCTCGATAAAATATAAAAATTTACAATTCCTAGTTATTTATAAAAAAAGAACATTAACATCGTTTATTTTATAGGTAACCCTATCTTCCTGCAAAAGTTTTTTTCACTCCTGTTTACTTTTCCTGTACATTTTATCACAATGAAAGTATTTTTTTGTCTAGTACTGGTGCATCTGTTCGATGAAGATAATAATGGATAAATGTAAAGAACATTCACGCACGAATTCTGCCGATTATTCTCATGTCCTCTTTGAGTTCTTAAAAGCCTAACATATTTATAAGATTGTTTCCTAAATTTCACTTAAAGTTCATTCGGAATGAAACATTTGCTTACAAATAGTTGACATTCTATTTCTAACTAATTTTTTTTTAATTTCACCCCTTCCAACATCAAATTGTAAGCTATTTGTTTATGGTTTTTGACAACTTCTTAATAGAATTTGGAAATTATCTACATAGCATATTGTATCTATTAATCTGACACTTTCTAGGTAAGAAATTACTGTTAAAGTTTAACAAAGCTATTGTCCACTCCTAATAAAGTTTTAAAAAGAAAATAGCATATACCCGGTGTCATATTTGTGACATTAAATTTATCAGCTAAACATTGATCAAGAAAATTACGTTCACGGTGTCTAAATTCACAACTAGGTTTGGTTTACTTTCACACCGACATATTTATGCTATTTTTTCTACTGAATTTTCAAAACATTCCGGTGTCTTCTGAATGAAAATGACTGTGCGAACGGCGTTAAGTAAAGTATTATTATATTTTATGATGTACGTGTTACAATTGTACTTCATGAACGTTTTAGGACATGTTATTCCGCAATAAGAAAAGTGTTACAGGCCTTTTTGTTATTTTGATATCCACTAATAGGATTATGACGTGCATGTAACCATATATATATTTTCCATTGATATATACTCAACAAAAAAGAAACGCATATTCAGATTAGATATGAAAATCTGAGATTTCAGTTTAACTTAATTTTTTAAAAAGTGACTTTAGGGTGTGATTTAATAAAAACCAATCATGTACTATGTTGCGAATTGAAAAGTCAAGTTGATGTCATTTTCATCACCCCCAAATTCAAGGGGCATAATAATATGTTCTGGTCGATGTCTCAGGGCTAGTGAGTTTCCAATGTGTGGTTGTCATGGACGAATAACAGCTCCTCCCAGCCTCTTGCGAGAATTTGTGAACTTTTATGCTGATTTCTTCAACCAGCAGTTGTAGCAGCAGTTTGTGCAGCAGTTCTGAATCGATTGCTAGAGGGGGATCTGACGATCCTGTCTGGATGTGGTAACCCGTTAACGGCCAGTTTGTGGTCTGTCATCCGTATTCTTAGCTGGTAGAGACGTGCGTTAAACCACTGCAAAACCTTTGATGTACACTAAATGCAGTTGCAACCTCCTGTTGCGTAGCTCCGGTTATCATCATAGTTAGTTCGCAATGCGTTCATCTTTGTTAAGAAGTGACATTGCAACATCAACATTGTTATAAAATCTTATATATGGGTTGAAAAGGAGTGTTAATTGTTTCTCTAAATCCAAAATTTCAATGAAAATAGACCACCGGTTTACAAGAAATCATGAAAAACACTATTTTCCTTAACATGATTACTACAGTATTCAAGGAAAATAACTCAACACTGGGTTTAAAACGCTATGTTGTCTATAAAATATACCACAGGTATCCAATGATAAAAAAGATCTATATACTTTTTCAAAATTTCGTTGATAAGTAAAACGATATGCGTTTCTTTTTGTGTTTGGTATATATAAGTGGATATTAATGAGAAGCAATGGGACTTCGATGCACAAAATATGAATAACCTATACCACTTGTTAAAATGAGGATAAATAAATGAAATGGGAATTGAAGATTGATTTTAAAGATAAAGAACCCTCACAGATAAATGGCTGAGTATATAGGTTTAAATTTGAAGCACTTCGCATACGGTGACGTCTCTATATAAACGAGACATTCTTGTATGAATTGAACGTTACACAATATATTATAATCAATCAATTAATCAAAACATATATAATTGTCACATATTGGGATAATTTTATACTCACAATAAATAGTTTCAGTTAATAATATTATAGATCCGTTCTATTCCATTTTTGATGGTGAGAGATGAATATGACACTTACCTTGGCCATAACAATTTGACGGAATCATTCACCAGATTTAGCTACCAGATAAGAAAATATTGAAATAAAATACAAATGGAGAGGCACGAACAAAGACTGTTCTAAAACTGTTGAACGACAAATATTAACTGTTTAGAAATATTGCAAAGCTTCAAGCTCACCTAGATGAAACAGATATGATTCAAAATTTCCATCAACAACTTCCTTTATTTACCGCATTTATTGATTGATTGATTAATGTTTTACGCCGAATCGGCAATATTTCAGCCATATATCGGCGATATTTATGCCGTAATATTTAATAATTACCTGATGTGATTTATTGAAGTCACAACGCATTTTGTATGCAAAAAGATGCTTTGTAAGTTATCAATTTTAAAAATGTTGATG